TAATAATAATAATAATAATATGAGAAAAATACCAATAAAACACCAATAACAATAACTTTTTAAATTACTATTATTAAAATAATAATACTAAGATTAATAAATAATAATAATAATAATATTAAATCGAAAATTATTTATTAATTATATGGTAATAATAATATCAGCAAAAAATTTAACAATATATAATGTTACAGTAATGCTAAGACTAATAATTAATATTAAAACTAACGGTAATAAAAACAACTATAATAATAACAACAATAACAGCAATAATAATAAGTATAGTAATACTTAAAGAATTATAATAATAATAATAATAAATACTTTATTTCAACACGGTAAAACTTGATTCACCCAAGGGTGTTTTTCATCAAGGCCGTGCAAGGCCGTATACATATAAGTAGTATAAAACTATAAAAGAAAAACAATTTAGTAAAAAAATCTCAGATAAGAAAGTATAATACACACTCCAAGTAACCAAATGAACACCAGCGCGCCCGCCCGGTCTCAACATTCCGACATCAATCATGTCATCATCATGTCTGATGATGACAAAATCAATGCCGAAACACTGAATCCCAAATTAGTATTTTATGCTTGATGAATTACTCCTTCAAAGTGTAGTACAGTACCAGTAAATGGCTTGTGGCCGAGATGACTGTAGCCAACCTTTTTGTGGCCGTGCTGACTTGTGGCCGAGTTGACTGTGGCCAAGTTGACTTGTGGCCGAGTGGGATCGAATTCACTAATACTAGTAGGCTAGCATAGGCAGGCTGCTTGTGGTGGACTACGCTTTAGGGCTAAGTATAGATAACCGTGAGATCTGAGATTAAATACGAATTATTCACTGTAGGCCTAGGCTTGCATATTTTCTCCTTTTTGTTACTGACATATTTATCCAGCTGTTGTATGACTACGTTCTTCTCATTGGCGGCTGTTGTGTATTCGGTGGCCTCTTTGGCGTTCCATACATTTGGCCCGGCGGCCGAAATGATCGAACACCAACTTGGTTAGGGGGCGACTTGGTTAGGAGGGCAACTTGACAAGGGGGCGACTTTGTAAGGGGCGACTTTACAAGGGGCGACTTGACTGGATCCCGTCTAGACCTATAGGCCTACTTAGTTTAGCTAAGCCCATAATGTGGAGCTGTACTCTAGTCTACTAGTACTAGCACTGTATGTGCAAGGTTTAAACTAGTGAATTAATCCTCTACCCTTGTTGTTAGTATAGAGTGACCTTCAATACCCTTTACTAGCCCTGTCCACTACCAGTAGGGCCTGCTCAATATGGTAAAGTAACCATAAGGCCAGGCACACTAATTAGTACTGACCAATCAGAGAGCCTTATTGTCTTATCTTGCCCCTTTGGGTTAAGCTTGGTATTCTTCTAATTCTAGACACTCTACATTCAACTCAACCCAATTCAACTTCTATTGTTTAAACGACTGTACTGTTTATTATAATATCAATTTTAACTGTACTGTATTCACTCAACGGTTCTGAAGAGGATACAGATTTCAAAACCTATCATTTTGGTGAACAAACCCTTTCAACCCTCATCAAGGTGTATGCGTGTAAATCAATTCTCTATCTTGACAATCAGAACCGAATGTAGGTAAGAATGGCCCCGGAAAAAATGGCCCCAGAAAAAATGGCCCCGGAAAAAATGGCCCCGGAAAAAATGGCCCCATATGACAGATAGGTAAAAATGGCCCCAAAGAAAAATTCGGTAATAGAAATGATATATTTTTTTAAAATCTTCAAATATTTAAATACTGTATAATTGAATCAAGAAATAAAAAATGGCCCTCAATTATAAAATTCAAGAAAAATAAATTATTAATAAATTAATAAATAAATGCTGTAAAATACCCTGTAGCAAAAATTTAATTAATAAATCAACATAAAGAATATGCATATTTGAGAACTAAAATAAATTAGTTTTTGTTACAATACTGTAACTTACAAAGCAACTTTTAAAAAATAGTAACATTGCATGCGTTAAAAAAGATGCTGTAAATTAATATTAGAAATTTTTTAGTAGGAATACATATATACAGTACAGTAAAATATACAATAGTCAGCGAGTTCGTCAAACAAGGTATAAAAAAAAGTCTCGCCTTAGGTAGCATCTTTTTAAAGAAAATCATTAATTTCATTAAAAAAAAACACAAGTTACTGATTGATTAAATAATTCTATTTTAAATAAGAAATGATAATGCACAGTAAAGGTAACATAGGACAACATTTAAAAGATCATTATATTAGTGATACTGAAACTGTTAATTATTTCAAGGTTTTATCTAAGTGCAAATCCAAGTTTGATTGCTTAATTAAAGAAATGCTTTGGATCAAAGAACTGAAACCTACACAAACAAACTGATTCAGTCAAAGCCAAACTGTTTATCTAGTTAATCTGCTAAGAAGGGCTAATTATTGCTTAGCTCCATTGTGGCTCCACACAGTAGGCCCTA